GATCCAAAATGGAAGAAAGTTGGAGGTTTAGTTCTCGTGCTCTTCTCGTGTGCATCAATTCGGATCCAGCTCAGCCGCACTTCATTATCCGAAAATTTGGTCAGCCGACGACTAAGTGCATCATCTGCAATGGAAAAAACAGAAATGGTGAGTATCATGTCTATTGTGATACCTGCAATTCCTATATTCACTATGGATGTTTTTTTAAACCAAGATGTCGTCTCTCGGATTTAACTAACCCTCACACCCTCAAGAAGAGACTTGGGTGGTCCGAAAGTTGCTTCGCATGTGGACTCTATCCTGGGGAATCAACTTGGAAAAATAGTTCAAAATGTTTCCATTGTTATACTTGCAAGAAGAGTTTCCACGACGTTTGCCACTTGTACCCACCAGAGATCAACCATCCTTTTCATTCTCTCCACCCTCTCACACTCACCTTCTCTTCAGATTCTTCTTATCCTTCCGATTTTATTGCTCCTAAACACCTACCCACTTCATTGAAGCGAGAAGACCCCTTTGGTTCCGAAGCAGACCCTGAAACAGACCCCGAGGATGCCTCTATTTCCGATGCGAAATGCAACTGCTGTCAGAAGAAGCTCCAACATGTATACTATCATTGTTCTCTCTGCAACTTCAACGTAAACCTCCCTTGTACAAGAAACCCACCACAACCAACAATCACAAACTTCAAAAGCCAAAACCATATCCTCACCTTTTTTCCTAGACGAATTCATTCGCCATGTGATGCTTGTGGCTTCTCTCTCGAGAACACTCGTGATTTCGTCTACGCTTGTGTTCCGTGTAACTACATAGTCCACAGGACATGTATCTACTTACCCCGTGTCATTAAGATCACCCGTCACCCTCACCGTCTATCTCTCTCTCCTTCCCTTCCTTCAGGGTTATTCTCTTGCGGAGTCTGTCGCCATACAATCAATGTCAGCTACGGCCAGTTCTCTTGTCAAAAGGAATGTCATTATGCTGTCCATTCCAAATGTGCAGTGGGAGATAATGTATGGGACGGTAAAGATCTTGACGGAGTGCCTGAGGAAGCCGATGAAGACCTCAATTCATTTGTGAGGATCGATGACGAGACCATACAACATTTCAGCCATGAGCATCATCTGAAACTCTATGGGAACAACAATGTTTGGGGTACAAACATTTTCTGTGAGGCATGCACCCTTCCAATATTAGTATCAGAGAGTTCCTATAGTTGTATGGAGTGCAATTTCATCCTCCACGAATCATGTGCATCCTTTCCTCGCAAGAAGGGCCATCCTTTACACAAACACCGCCTTGTTCTCCATCCAATTCCTCCTGGGGCATCCAAATTCATGCGAAGGATACTGTCATATGGACAGTATCAATCTAGTTCGCGATACGTGAAAGAAATGTTCAAATGCAACGGTTGTGGCCAAGTATGTTGTGGTTTTGTGTATCGATGTGGCGAAAAAGGCTGCAAATTCCAATTAGATGTTAGATGCGCTTACCTCCCTGATCCTTTTATTCACGGAAGCCATCCACATGATCTCTTCTTCAATCTCACAAAAGGAGAATGCATTGGGTGTAAGTCTAGTGATTGTTCACCTAATTACCTAGAGTGTATGGAATGCAAGTCATTTTTGGGCCTCAAATGCGCTACTTTTCCAAGTGTAACACGTTACAAGCACGACAAGCATCCACTCACTCTTTGCTATGGGGAAGAAGAAACATCAAGTGGTCAATACTGGTGCGAAATATGCGAAGCAAAATTAGATGCGAAGGAGTGGTTCTATGCATGCGATGACTATTGCAATGTCACGCTTCATGTTAGTTGTTTGTTAGGAAAAATGTTCTTGAAACCCAAGTCCTTCCTAGTACATACTTTTTTGTTTTCAATTATTCGCAACAGTGATAACACTCGAGCAATTTGCTATGACTGTCGTCGTCGTTGCGTAGGGCCCTTTTATTTTCAGCTTAACTATAATATTCATATTTATTTTTGTTCTTTGCATTGTAGTTGGGACTATTTAGAATCATATAAGTATTAATGTATTATTAAGGGTTCCTTTGGTTATCGTTGTAAATTGTTGTCTATTATACTTAATGTATTATTAAGGGTTC